TGAGAACGCAGATTCAGCCCAGGTCGCCCCCACCCCTGCGTATAGCCATTCTAACCCAACGCCGGGGTTGCTTCTTCCACGACAGAGGACATGATATGGGCCACGGTGGTTCAATTGGAACGGGAATACATCATTTATTATTTTCAGGTTAAAGTTATTATGCAAATTATGCAAAATATCACGAGTAAACACAGTAATTATTGTTGCTTTAAAAGCTTTTTAGTCTAGCTAGAGAACGGCAGCCTTAATTGCAAAAGCGCACACCGTTCAGTGGCTCATCATTCATTTAACAAGTATTTAATAAGCACCTTATGAGGAAAGCCGCAGTGCGTTATGTGGGGGATGGGAGAGATGACTAAAATCCAATCCCGTCGCCATGGGAACCATTGTGACTCCTGCCACCAACCACCACCTGTTCTCATTCCAGATCTGAAAATTAAGTCCTAGCACCTTTACGAAACAATTACCCACACAGTTTGACTCGACTCCTAAATGTCCCACCAAATCCATCAAATTTATTATTTCCTTTTACAGGGGTGGAACAGCACAGTAACCCTTTGTCCTTTGCTCTAAGTCGTTTTTTCCAGGAATAGAGAAGGGTTATGTTGGGTTGTTCAGACTGGCTAGCTGTGTGAATAATACCATCTATGTGGACTACAGCAGGGGCTGTGCATGACACAACATGGTCCCCATACCCTGTCTTCTTAGCTGCGGCAGGAACCAACTCTTAGGGCCATGCCTTGGACCAGCCATTCAGACAGGCTGGACTTCCAGGATCTTGGACTACCATCATAGCTGTCCCTCGCACTTTGTCTGCTCTTTAGTGCCTACTAAGCTCTCTTTTAACTTCCTTTACTGTCTCTGGTCACTTAACCCTTCTCATATTCCCCCACCCTCATCATAAAAGACCGGGGACTGTGTAGGTAGAATAATATCAGATCTTCTAGACACATATTTAGAGTGTGTGCTTACCTGTGCAGTTTAGAGTTGGAATGGCTCTAGGAATTATGGATAGAAATTGAGAGAGGGGCAGGCAAAGTGGATAAAGGTCCTTACCACCAACTTGGATGACCTGGGGTCAATCCCTGGAACCTGCACGGTAGAAGGACAGGACCAACTACTTGCAAGTTGTCCTGTGACTTACACACATTTGCACAACACATGCAGACTCACAAAATAAGTGAATGTGGGGGAAAAAAGGAGAGTACTAAGGGAACAACCCAAGAGGTGGGAAGACAAGGAAGAGAGGAGAAACTTCAAGGCATCTATTGGTGAAGTTATGGTTGTACATGAGATGGGTAAGCAACGTAATGAACTGGATTGTTTCGAGGGTAGCTATAAATCTTTAAACTTGGAGATCAAGTAAATGGGTGATAATGCATTAACAAAGTTATAGAACAACTACCCAGCATCCCAAGAACAGAAAACACTGCCTAGCACACATTCAACTTCTACCCTTCAGTGCTGGAGTTCACCTCTTTGTAAGACTAATAGCTCTTGTTCCAGTGGGTATGGAAATACCAGGTTTACTGCCCACAGTGGTCACTGTGTTTATGAAATTAGAGCAGCATACAAGACACATAGCAAGGTTATGGAAGCATGGATTCTTTGATATGACGCTACCTTGCGATTGAAGTATGGAGTAATCTAAACACACAACCCTTCTCCATCCCCTGGATTTTGTTGCAGAAGAGCCCAAAGGCCACACTTCAAGAGACTCTGCTCATCGAGAGCCACCCTTGCTTTCATAGTAAGCCTCTGTGGACTCTTTGGTAGTGTTGAGCTACAAACCAAAAGGCTTTTCACATCAAGATTCCTTTTGGATCCTGCTTGTGTCAAAACTGCACCAAAATTAAAGAGAAATGTTTCCTCGCCATATGAAAAGTAGCTAAATTCTATCAAATGATAACCCATGGAAGGAAACATTCAATAAACGTAGTAAGATATGTCTAACAAGGTCAAGAACTAAGTCTCATTTTTCATCTAACAAGCAAAAGATATTTTTCTTTTTTAGAATGTTAATTATGATCGTGCCTAGTGATTCATGAAATAATCACCTTCAGACACAACTAGTGTGCCTAAAGAGGTGTGGCCTATTGAAGAGTAATTTATAATGGCTATAGAGAAATCCTCAATTTCTGTTTGTTTGTCTTGTTTTTGAGACGGGGGTTCTCTGTGAAACAGCTCTCTGGGGCTGTCCTAGAACATGCTCTGTAGACCAGGCTAGCCTCGAAACTCACAGAGATCCACCGGCCTCTGCCTCCCAAGTGCTGGAATTAAAGGTGTACACCCTACCACCTGGCTAGAAAGTCTCAAATCTTAAAATCCTAAGAATGTCTCAGGAAATAATCAGAGCAGTGCATGACAATGACCCTTGTAGATGTAAACTGGACTCTTACTTAAAACACAGAGAAAAAAATGGCACCAACCTAATTAGTAAAGAAATGATTAAAATATATGATGGCAGACTCATAAAAGGTATTTTTTCAGAACCATTAAAAAGTATATTTCAAGGCTAATTGGGGCAATGGAGAACTACTACTGATTCAGTAAATGTAGAAAAAAAAAAAAGGCACCAGGAAGCTTCTTATTTAATATGATCCTGATATGTATGGAGAAAAAAAAAATACAGGTATCCTCAGGGGAAAGAATGAAAAAAATTTAATAAAAGCCATGTCTGGATTTCAAAATACAGATATTTGTTTTGTTCGGTAGACATTTTGTGAGTTTCACAGATTTTCTTTAGTGGCTATGAACTTACTCCATACTTTAAAAATCACATCCTTCCCCTAAGAAACAAAACTCGTGATGCTGGCTGCACCCTGAGAGCTGTCTATGGCTTTTGTCTGGGCTGATTTAGACCAGAGCAGAATTCTGAGTAATTCCCCTATGTGAAGTGCTGCAGTTCTTGGCAGTAAAAGACTCTCCAGGCACTTGAGTGAGATCCTTGCAATCAGAGCGGTGATTGCTAAGAGGGTCGAGCTTTGTTTGCAAGAGAAGGAGTTCTGATTCTTTTCTTTAGAAGTTCTTACTCCCACTGATTAATCTTATTTTTCTCCGAAGTTAGAAGTGCTCTTAGGAACTTCCATTTGTTTGATGTCTTCTTTTTAACCCTGTATGGGTTCCCAGGAGCTTTTAGGTTCTATTGAGTTGGAGGGGAGGGAGCCATCAGGTAAGGTCAGTATGGTTGATGGGAAGCTGGTTTGTATTTTAGCTACCCCTGGCCCCACTCAGTCCCCCAACTCCCCTCTCCAGAACTCAATGGTCGTTTTGCTACCAAGCAGGTTGGTCCTTTCCCACGCCTCAAACTCTTTGTACCTTCCTTCACCCTGAACCCCTCTCATTGTCCAGCTTCACATCCTCCATCCAAATGCGCTCCCTGCCCTCCCTTGGGTGTTGAGTCTACTTTTTTGATTAAAGCCCAAACCCCCACTCCACCAGACCTGTCTCAAGATGTTCCCTTTTGGATATGGGCCTTGGCTCCTTTCCCTGGCATCATTTGTTCTCATTTCCTAAATGACATGCATGTCCAGATGTTAAGGAAATCGTTCCACCCAATCTAGTCCAGTCCTGGGATCCTTTCCTGGGTCCCCAGAAATGGAACACAGCTGAAGCACTGTAACTCTGCCCTGTGAAAGGTTCCTGTAACAGTGGCAACAATTTGGTACCATTCTATTGGTGAAGAGCGTGTCCAGAGGAGTGGGAAGCTGGCCTTTGCCTCTACATCTCTGCAGCCACTCTAAAGACGGTGACTGAGACCCAAGGCTGTAGTCTCACACTGCACTACTTTCTGATGAGACAAATAAGTTGATGTAAATGGCATCCTGGTTGATTTGCTTCTGGAGTTCACACTCCTATCTGTGCTGTTTTGCAGCCACCCCTGTGTCTTTGTTCATTTTCTGTTCTTATAAGAAAGTGCCAGAAGCCAGACAAGTTACAAAGAAGAGAGATTCATTTAAGTCAGAGTTTTAGAGGCTAGAAACTCCAAGAGCATGGTTCCAGCATCTGCTTAGCGCTTGGTGATGGCTTCCTTGCTTTATCATGACATGGCGGAGGGCATCCGTGGAGATCTCATTTGCCAGACAGGGTGCCCTATTCATCTATTAATCCGTGACTGAATTAGTCTACTTGTGAGGATGGAGCTCTTAACGGCCCTATTACCTCTCAAATGTCCCAAGTATAAATGTATGAATTAGGGGTTACATTTTTCAACATATGAAATTTGAAAGACACTTGCAAGACCTAGCAGTGGACAGTCTTGCTGTGACATAAAGTGTAGGTGATGTTCCCTCCCAGAAGATCTCACATCTGTGATAGAGGCCAGTATATTAGGGCAATAGAAAGAATGCTCTGGCCTTCGGCTTGGGGTTTCTTAAAAATAATGTATTTTATGTACATTGGCATTTTGCCTGCATACATGTCTCTCTGAGGTGTCAGATCTTGGAGTTACAGACAGTTGTGAGCTGCCATGTGGGTGCTGGGAATTGAACGTTGGTCCTCTGGAAGAGCAGTCAGTGCTTTTAACCATTGAGCCATCTCTCTAGCCCCCCTAGCTTGAGATTTTTGTGGACTAATGTTTTGCCACAGACCTAGTACCAAAAGCACTCTGAAGAGCTGCCCTGGGTCAGAATGGAGGAAGAGTTGGAGTTGGGAGGCACTTATTGTACTCTGAGCACAGGGATGGCCAGTGGGCCTGTGTGCTAGGAGAAGTCCAGTGAGGACAGAATGTATCAGATGATCATATTTGCCAAAAATAACACAAGAGCTCAGTTTTCTTCATGGAAACCTGAGGCCACTAGCTTGTAATCC